ATGGCCAGACAGCCCAGAAAACTCACAGCAACCCTATTATTATTATTATTATTATTATTATTATTATTATTATTACATCATGTTATATTATTACATTATCTTATACTATATTATACAATAATAATAATAATAATAATAATAATAATAATAATAATAACTTCTATTAGGAGGGGGTGGGTACTTTCCCACATCCATCCCCACAAGTTGCTATGAGAACTATCACCTTAGAGGTAAAAAGTCACCTTCAGAGTGCAAAGATGGGCTCATGTTTTTGTCTCTTTTCTCCTGCTGCGTTCCACCAAGACGGCCCTAAGGACACCTCGGTGGAGGACGCCTTGGAGAATACTTACACCCCGTCCTTGAAGACATTCCAAGAGGAAATCATGGAGATGAAGGGGATCGTGGAGACGCGGCGCTTCCGGAAGTCCTACTGGTATTAGCACTCCTCTTCCGCCTCCCCGACCGGGACGGTCACGCTTTGGACCTAGAGACTGCTCAGGAGCTCCATCCTTGAAGGCTCTTCTCCTTTTCTCCTCCGAGTCCCTGTTCTCCAGAATGGAAATTATACCGGTACTCTCCCATATTTCAGTCTGGAGTTTTATCAACGGGAAGTTGTGCCTTTTGTAAAAATAGAGTCTGGATCATCCAGGGAGAAGTATGCTCTGATACAGATTTCCAGGAGGCCTCTCTTGGAAGAGGAGATGTTTCAGAAGTCCAGACCTAACTAGGTCTAGCTATTCGTGTCCCTTCGCCTGGACATCTTCCATAGGGAGATGGAACTCTCCTTCGTCTGTATTACGTTTCCATTGCCAAGGGTGGGGAATGCAGCAAAATAAAAATAGATACCAATAAAATTACATTAATTGAGGCATCAGTAGGTTAAATACTTGCGTATAAGCCGAGAATATAAGCCTAATTTCCCAAAAAAATCTGGGAAAACGTATTGACTCGAGTATAAGCCGAGGATGGGAAATGCAGCAGCTACTGGGAAATTGCAAAATAAAATAGATACCAAAAATGACATTAATTGAGTAGTTTTTGAATATTTACATAAAACTGTAATTTAAGATAAGACTGTCCAACTCCTATTAAACCATTATTCTAACCTACTTCAATGTAAATGTGCTTACGTATCCTTCCAATAATAATAAAGAGTAATATAATGTAATAAAAATAATAATAGAGTAAAATAAGGGAAATCTAATAACAGTAATAATAGAGTAGAATAATAAATGTAATAACAAATAGTTTTTTAAATGTAAATAAATGTAATTAATAAATATTATTAATAACTGTAATAATAATAATAGAGTAAAATAATGGAAATGTAATAACAACAGTAATAATAGCATAAAACAATAAATGTAATGATGATAATAATGGGTAAAATAATAAAATAATAATAAATACAGAAAATATAATAAATATAATAATAGAGTAAAATAATGGAAATGTAATGGAAATGTTTTGCAGTGGCTCCGCTCATTCCTCGAGGGTCGGTCTCAGATGGTGTTACTGGGAGACTCCTGTTCAAC